CTGACCCTATAACTTTTGCTGATCGATCAGTGTAGAGGGCTGATATATTGAACTCGTAATTCCAAATTATTTTAATGTCACATAAAACCCCAACCCACCCTATCAAACGCTTTCTCTGCATCTATTAATAGAAGCATTAGAGGAGTTTTATTTTTTTCTGTTTCTTCCAATATATTAATTATTTTTCTAAGATTATTGACGGATGACCTCTTTGGTATAAATCCCACTTGATCGTTGTTAATTAATTGTGGTATAACTCTTTTTAGCCTTTCTGCCAGAATAGAAGAGAAAATTTTAATGTCAGTATTGATTAACGAAATCAGTCTATAGTTACTGATCAACTCTGCATCTTTGTCTATTTTTGGGATGGAAGCTATGTTTGCTTTCAGCAACTCCCCAGGACAATGTCCTGTTCTCATTATATAATTATAAATATTAACGAGTTATCCTTTTAGTTGCTCTTTCATTAATTCATAAAATCTATTAGTAATACCATCTCGACCTGGGGCAGTTTTTAGTTTGAGCTTATCTATTGATTTACTGACCTCTGTTTCTGTTATTGGTTGATTTATGCTTTTTTGTTGGTCAGAGAGAATTTTTGGCATATGTATATTTGGGAAAAATGTATCTATTTCTTCTTCTTTACCATATGTTTCTTCTGGTAAATTGTAAAGATCATGATAGAATTTTCCAAATGCTTTTCCTATTTTTTCTGGGGTCAGTAGATACGTTTCTTTATCTTTTATTTTGTATATATTTTATTGTGTTTTTCTTTTTTGAGCTTGTTGGTTATTAATGCTTCTGGTTTATTGCCCTTCATATATTATTTTGATTGTAGGGATTCTAGCTGCTTGGCTGCCTTATCCCTTAACTGATCATTTATTTGTTTTTCTATTTCTACAATTTTCCTTGCTGTTGGCATGGAGGGTATTGTTTTATTTATTTTTTTATAGTTGCTTAATGTTATATATAAGTTAGCTAAAGGAGGTATTCCTTTCTTTTTTGTGGTCGATACCATTTTTATTACATGACCTCTGATTACGCTTCTGTATTCAGAACAGAACGTAATGACTGGTGTGCCTTTATTTTTATTTTAAAAAAAAAAGGTTATTTTTTTTAATCTCATCCACATTATTCTACTTGTGTAGTGTGCAATCCTTTAGGCGCCAATCTTTACAGAAGTTATCAAAGGTATCATTATATTCTAATATAATCGGACTATGATCTGACCATGTTATATCTTTTATCTTTATTTTTTTATTTAGATAGAGCATGGACACGTTTCCCAGCATAAGGTCAATTCTAGAATAAGAGATATATGTTTTAGAGTAATATGCATAATCTAAATCTGAGGGGTGAAATGATCTTCATATATCTCTCAAATTATAGTTGTTCAATAAGTTTTGCATTCTGTTTCCGCTTGTAATCTTAGTCTTTCAATCTTTCTGGTTTTTCCTATCTTTCACGGGATCAATTACACAGTTGAAGTCCCCCATTAATAATACCAGTCCTTGTTTAATCTGTTCTATCTTCTTAAGTACTTTTGCAATATAATTTATTGTAGATTTGTTTGGTGCGTATATGTTGGCTATTGTAAATAGTTTATTGTTGATATCACATACCAAGATGATGTACCGGCTTTCTGGATCTAGTACTTCATGTTTAATGTCTAGAGAGACATTTTTTTCAAACAGAAGGGCGACACCTCTTTTTTTTTATTATCCATAGAAGCGCTTATGATTGTGGGATATCTTAATGAACCTATTGTATTTTTATTGGATTTTGTCCAGTGTGTTTCTTGCAGGGCACAAATTTGTACCCTAATTTTTGTAAAAAATTCTAAGATTGTCGATCTTTTACCGGGTGTGTTGATCCCACAGGCTTTTATTGAAACTAGCTTAATTTAAATTCATCTGTCTGTTCTTGGGGCTCTCTCTCTCCAGAATTTATTGTGAAGCTAAAAACAAGAAAATTATTTATATTTGTATTGAATACTAGGTTGTTCCAAAATTTAGGAATCAACCCAGAAGATAGGTTTTGTATGGCAGAAGTACCCTGCCATACAGCACTTCGAGTAATATTGGGCATTACTCGAGTATGGGTCCCACATGTCTTGTCGGAAAAGCATGCTGAGGGTCTACGATCTAGAGGGAGCCCCCTTTCGAGTGCTTTTAAGCATATAGGAGAACGGTTTACCTATTTTGAATACCTTACAGGACCTACATAATTTAATCCACACCCACCTTTTACCTTACATCTAATCCTAAGGAAAATAATTATTGTTATTTATTATTTCCCTTTTCCCTTTATTTCCTTTTTCTCTCTTTTAAATCTTTTTATATATTATTTTTATATTCTATCTTCGTGTGAAAACTTGTGTTCTTCCTAATCTAATTGCTCTATTTAGGCTTATTTCCCCCTTTTTTTTCCTTTTACCCTTTAAGTGTTTTTAGATATCCTTGTGTGAATGTGTTTCTTCCTGTGTCATTATATCTTATTATTTATTTTGTGTGTGTTTGTAGTGCAATTATACATTTTCCTTATTAATTTAAATTGAGTGGTTTTTTTTTATATGGGTGATATATTTCCGTTTGTGTGTTGTGTTATTTTCTTTAACTGTGTATTACATTTTATCCTACCATATTTATGAACTTTTCTTGTTAAAATTTCATCTTAATGTACTTTACTGGCCTACAGCATACGTCGGTTTCAGCACACCTCAACCGACTTTTTCCTATCACAGGTTTGCTAACAACAATCTTACTTCATATCATAATCAATGTTACCCAAACACAAATTGGAAGGCTTGGCCTGAAGTTGTGGGAGGGGTTTATGGACCTTTAAAAGGGACACCCCCTTCCCTACCCTACCATGATTGGTCTGACGAGCCGCTGCCCCACCCTCCACTCCCTTTATTCACCATACTCTTCTAGTGTAGGCCCACTTTATTTACTGGCCTACAGCATATGCTGGTTTCGGCACACCTCAACCGACTTTTTTCTATCACAGGTTTGCTAACAACAATCTTACTTCATGTCATAATCAATGTTGCCCCGAACACAAATATATATAGATCTGGCACTCTACTTTGGTAATTTCAATTCAATAGACCTCAGTGTTGCACAGTGTGGGAATATAGAAAGATAAATGAAGAGAGCACTCAAGATTTTAAAAATAAATTTGTGTTGTATAAGGCAATCAACGTTTTGACCTGGTAGGTCTTTATCAAGATAAGTGCTCTCTTCATTTTTATATATATATATATATATACACATATGTATGTATATATACACACATGTATATACATACACACACACACACACACACACACACACACACATATATATATATATATATATGTAACGGATCGCCTGGCACCCCGCCTGGGTACCTTCGTTTGACGGATGCTCCTAGTGCTTCCCAAGGGCTCCAAGCACTCCACTAGACACCATAACCACTGCAGACCCCACGAACCGCCGCAGCTTGGTTGGGGTCTCGTCGTCTTCCACACACTCTGGACCCAAGACCAGGATCCAGCTTCCAGTAGGCAGACCTATCTTAGAATCCAGAGAGAAGGAACAGGAACAAGCTCTTACAAGAGCTTACTCTGGGGAATATAGTGATTATAGCAATCCCCATAGTGTAGGTATTTCTCCAATCCCCCAAACATGAGCCAGGACTTCATAAAGGGTAGAACTGGTCTGTTTAATGAGCACAAAGGCATTTCTTTTATACAGTTTTCCCCACAAGGTTACCACCCACGTGGACCTTGTGGAGCACAGGACACAAAGTCACAACAGCCAATCAACACAGTATTGTACAGTTAGACACTCCCAGCTAATGTACACAAACCCTCCCCTCTGCCTGTGATACAATTACCAAACAGTCCATAAACACCCCAAAAAAATAACATATCCCCACAAATACATATTATATATCCCTGGATAGCCCTGATATGGGTGAACAACATATCCAAAAATCACCCAGATCAGAGCAGGGGTTCAAAAGTTTTATGTAAGTCACATTTGACCGACCGCAAGCATGGCTTTCCTGCCCAAAACAGTTCCACAGATTTAGGCTGAGTCTTCAACTCTATCCTGGAGATAATTGGCTTGAAGGGACTCTCCAGTGCCAGGAAAACAATCCACTGCAGGTCCCCTCTCCCTCCCACCACCCATCCCCAGGTTGCTGAAGGGGTAAAAACCCCTTCAGTGACTTACCTGAGACCCCCCCTCGTTGGTGGTATCAGGTCGCCTCCGCTCCTCCCCTTCATAACAGCTGTGTGAGGACCTCCAGCATCGCTCAATTCCCCATAGGAAAGCACTGAAAAGCATTTTCAATGCTTTCCTATGGAGAGCTCTAATGCGCATGCGCGGCATTGCCACGCATGCACATTAGGTCTCCTCAGCCGGTGGGCGGGATCAGTCTCCCCCACCGGCTGAGGAGACCTAATGTGCATGCGTGGCAATGCCGCGCATGCGCATTAGAGCTCTCCATAGGAAAGCATTGAAAATGCTTTTCAATGCTTTCCTATGGGGAATTGAGCGATGCTGGAGGTCCTCACACAGCGTGAGGACGTCCAGCGACTCTCTAGCACAGAAAATCTGTGCTATGAAGCAGGAAGTGCCCTCTAGTGGCTGTCTAGTAGACAGCCACTAGAGGAGGAGTTAACCCTGCAAGGTAATTATTGCAGTTTATGAAAACTGCAATAATTACAGTTGCAGGGTTAAGGGTAGTGGGAGTTGGCACCAAGACCACTCCAATGGGCAGAAGTGGCCTGGGTGCCTGGGGTGTCCCTTTAAGTGGCTGTGGTAACTTAATTATCTCCAGGTACAGGAAATATCTCTAAGTCAAAAACTGTTACAAAAAACACATAAAAATGAATAACTCTTATAATACAATGTTAACCTATATGTCCTACATATCCCCAGATAGCTTGGATCTGAGCGCTCGATATGTCCAATGTTAAAAGTGCCCTGTAGTAAAAGGAAGGGTGTGGTCAGACAATAGCAAGGGCTGATGGGAGATTGAGGAGGGACAAAGAAGACAGTTTAATCTGGTCTGGCAGTGTCCCTGACAACGCCCGGACAACGCCCTGCTGGAGAAACAATAGGACAGGGAAAAGGGGGAGGGGAAGAGGCACATTTTCCCATGGATTTAAAGGGGCAGAAAGTGTTTTAAAATCCAATATGCCCAAATAAAGCTTTTAAAGGGCAATACATCCCAGGGGACATAGCCACAGGGCAAGAGGCTGGCAAGCAGACCTCTCCAAATCCCAGTGATGAAGGTGCTTTCGTCACAACATATATTTGTTTTTTTTGGGCCCACATAAACCTAAACCTTGTTTATTTGGCTCGTGTTAGCCTTTGAGTTTGACATGCTTGTTGTCCATCTTCGTACATAGGTATATTGAGGGTGTAGCACCAAGGGTGAGTAGTAGAAGGTGTTGCAGCCTTGCAGCTGAATGGACCTTGGGGATGGTGAGCACATCATTTCCTTTAGAGACCCTAGGTATTTAGTCACCTATGTGTGTTATCAGTTATCTAGTATTGGTGAGGTACTCTCGCCATGGTTGCCATGCCTTTTGGAAAGATTCAAATTTGTTGAGCGAGTCTAGGGTTTGTACGTGAAATACTGATTTATTTTTTTTAGCAGTTGGGAGTTAGTAGTGCATGTTGTATTTTTCCAGTTCAGTGCAATTAAGTTCTTGGAAGCCAGAAAGATTAGGGTGACAATTTGTCTAGAAAGTTTAGGCAGTGTGGGCGGCAGGGCCAGATTAAGAGCCCAGTGGGCCTGGTGCTGACAATTATGACGGGCCTAATTACAGAATCATATCGACCAAAAACACTAAAACATTCCCAAGCGTCATGTATCTGATAAAGATGGTGCTGGAGAGATAGAAAACAGCAGCTATAAGAAAACACATACCCTAGGCTAATCTCTCTCTAATTTATGTTTTCATCTTTCAAGTAAATCCATAACCCCTAACAGCAGTGTCCAGTCAGGCAGGAAGTCAATGGGCATGGTAAAAAGGTGGGCCACTGACACAAATCACGTAACCTGCCAAAAGGGGAGAACATGCCCAAAAAGAGGACATGTCTGCCCAAAGAATTAGAAGGCCAACCTGGCATGAATGCATGTCAGGCTGCCTGCCAATCATGCAGCTGGCCAACTAAGGGCATACTATGCAGACAGCACTCTGAGCTTGGCAAAAATGCATCTAATGATGAGCTCACTCAACGCATTCTAAGGACTGTCCCCTAGCACTCGCTAGTCCACTTGTCTCCTTACCTTCTTAGTAGCAGGCAGAAGCTCCTGGTATATAGTCTGGGACAGAGAAAAGATGTATGTAGTGAGTGTAGAAGAAAGGGAACATGCCACAGTGTTAGAGAGACCAAAGTCATCATTACCTTAAAGGATCACTATAGGGTCAGGAACACAAACATGAATTCATGACCCTATAGTGTTAACACCACCGTCTAGCCCCCCTGGGCCCCTCATGCCTCCATAAATATAGCAAAATTTTACCATATTCAAGCCTGAAGCTGTAACTCAAGCAGTCTGCTGACATCATTAGAAGTGGTGGCCTGATCCAATCACAGTGCTTCACCATAGGATTGGCTTACACTGACAAAGATGCAGATCAGGGTCAGAGCCAGCATGATTCAAACACAGCCCTGGCCAATCAGCATCTCCTTATAGAGATGAATTGAATTAATGAATCTCTATGAGGAAAGTTCAGTGTCTGCATGCAGAGGGAGGAGACACTGAATGTTTGGATGCATTTTAGGCAGCCCTGACCCAGGAAGGATCTCTAACAGCCATCTAAGACAGTGTTTCTCTGAAAAGACAGTGTTTACAGCAAAAAGCCTGACAGTAATGATTCTACTCACCAGAACAAATTCAATAAGCTGTAGTTGTTCTGGTGACTATAATGTCCCTTTAACTATATTCATTGTCAGCCAGTCCACACAAGTTTTGTTCCCATACATCCCTCTTAAGTTTCCATACTTAAGTAAGAGTATGTGAAAAGTAGTTAGGGCTGCCACCTTTCTTGGAAAAACATACCAACCTTACTAATTTGCATAATTAAATATGTATGGGTGACATCACATGATGTAAATCACAAGGAGTGACATAAGAGAAAAATGCTGTAAAATCACCAAAAAAAACTACTTAATTCTGCTGTATAGATGGATTCTTCCCAGTGCCCCCATGTCTCCCAGTGCCCTCATGACTCAGTGCCCCCATGTGTCAATTGTTCCAGGTCTCAGTGTTCCTATGTATCAGTGTCTCAGTGCCTCATGTCTCCCAGTGTCCCCTAGTGTCATGTCCCCAGGTCTCCCAGTGATCCTATGTATCACAGTGTCTCAATGCCCCATGTCTCCCTGAGCCCCCATGTATCCCAGGGTCCCCATGTCACTAGGACACTAGGAAGACGGGGAGACCTGGGGACACTGGGAGACTAGGGGACTCTGGCTGGGACACATGGGGACAATGGGAAAATAGGGGACACTTGAAGACATGGGGACACAGACACTAGAGACACTGGCTGGGGGACATGGGAACATTGAGACATGGGGGGACTGGGAGACATGGGGACACTGAGACACCAGGGCCACAGACACTAGGGACACTAGCTTGGAAACATGGGGACATTGTGACACTTGAGGCACTGAGAGACATGGAGGTACTAGGAGACATGGGGACAGTGAGACACTGGCAGACTGGGGGCACTGGGAGACTAGGGGTCACTGGGAGACTAGGGGGCACTGGCTGGGAGACATGGGGACACTGTGTCCCCATGTGCCTATGTCATAATGTCTCCCAGTGTCCCTTAGTGTCTCAGTGTCTGCCATAATGTCTCCCAATGTCCCTTAGTGTCCCAGTGTATGTCTCCTTGCAGCCTTTCCCCCATCCCTTACTTCCCTGAGCTGTAGGCTGTCTCTGCAGGGTGGGAGTTGCTGTTCTCTGTAGCTGCACCCCTGCAGATCAGTAAGTATAGATAGGCAGGGAGGGATATGCTGGAACTTCCTATCCCTGCCTCTCTCCACACACAGTGACCCCTACTGGCCAGTGCTGGTACTGCATAGTAATCTCTTGTTTATACTGAGAAAAATACCAGCATTTGTATTGCCAGTATCACTGCAATATTGGCACCAGCAGACAGCCTCAAATACTGGCTGTGCTAATAAAATAAAAGCCAGGTGGAATCCCTAAGAGTAGTGTGTGAAAAAAAAAAAAAATGTAAAAAAAAAATTATTATTATTTTTTTTTTTAAATCAATGGGCCTATTCCATGGGCCTGGGCCTGGAGCTGCAGCTCCATCAGCCCCTATGTTAATCCGGCCCTGGTGGGCGGGAGGAGGAAAAATAACCATGTGTGTAGCAAATATGCCTATGCCACAAGCTCCTGGAGGAGCCTGCTAGCTAGCCTCCTGCCCAAGGACTATGGGCCATGTAACCGACCACTCTGTCCCTTAAAATACTCTGTTCGTATGGTTTCCCTTCTTTAGATCTGTTACTGAACAAACCCACGAAATGCCTCTCTATACCCCCCATACTTGGGCTACCTCTGGGCTTGTTAACCCCTGTTATTCTCTCCTGACACCTTCATCATCGATTCACACTTTATTATCCCAAGTGTTTGGCAGGGTGGCCACTGTTTGCATGATGAACACGTGGGAAATTAGATGGCGGCCATCTTGGTGCATGAACGCAGGCAGTGGTGTTCGGGCGTCGAGTGTATGGAACTAAAATCGGACAGACTAACTTGAGAACACCGCTGAACTTAGACAAATGCCTGCTTCTTTTATAACCATCTCAGGAGGGCGCTGTTCGATAGGAGTGTTCGCACAAACTAGGTGAACAATCGCTACCTAGAAACCAGAGAATCTGTTAGGTATTCATTTCATTTTTGGACACCCGTAAGTGACCGACCGCTACCACTTGTCTTATGGAACTATTTTGGGCCAAAGCCACGTGTGCGGACTGTCAAAACTTTATCCCGGTGGCGATTTGGCTATGTTCGTGGGGTCTGTGCGCTATTTGGACACCTTGGGTGCTCAGATCCAGGCTATCCAGGGATATAGGACTTGTGGGTGGTCCCTTGTAATATTGTGTGTATTTTGGGGTGTTTAATATTTTGTGCATTGTACCTCTGTGCCTGGGAGATATTTAGATTAAGCAGAGTACACTCAATTATCTCCCAGACACAGAGACTCCGGGGAGGAGTCTGTATTGAATTGTATGGAGACCCCCTGCTGGGGGTCAGTGTTTAAATTGCCTGTACCATGCCCCATTAAACCAGTTCACTTCCAGCATTAAGTCTTGGCTAATGTCTGTGGGGGAAGGCTATGATCACTCAGCAGCTATAATCATTATACATACATAAAATGGGTGGAGCTTCTTAAAATGACAATATAACAGATATTCTGTAAAATAGAATAAAAACCATAGTGTAATACAGTAAATAAAATTGAAAGTATATATGTAGCAGGTATTCCACTCACAAGCCTGGAGTCATAGTTTCATATGACTCAGATGATGTGTGCCTTTGGACCAATTTAGGATGTCCAGATCCTTCTTTCTTGCAGGATTCCGTCTGTAACCACCTTTAACCAACTTCCAGACCAAAAGACGTCAGGTCAACAATAGGTATTCTAAAAGGTTGGTGCTTTATTAATAATAAAAATCTTTATAAAAGAAAAGAATTAACATATAAAATCAAAAATAAAATGTAGCAGCTTCAAATGGGGCTATATAGTCCTTAATAATCGCCAAAACGCGTTTCGCCTGGTACAACAGGCTTCCTCAGTCGGCTAAATTGTCCACTGTTTCGTCTTTTTAGTTATTTAAACAGTCCGCTCAATTTCACTTCCGGGTTCCGGTTTTCGCTTCCGTGGAGCGCAATTATGCGTTCCAATGATGTAATTTCCTGCTCCGTCACTTCCGGGTTAGTGCCTTATTCGGTTGGAACGCATCATGCGTTCCAATCATACCATTTCCTGTTTCGTCACTTCCGGGTGCTGGTCTCGGTCAACTGGAACGCATAATGCGTTCCACCGGCATCATCCTCCATTCCTTTCATTCAATTCACTCTGACAATTTATTTTTCACGTGTTTATATGTATCAATGTACTATATTAGTGTGTCATTAGTGTGGAAATCTATTCTATGCATCATTATACATATGCCAATAAACTCTGCATCCATATT